TTTATATTTAATATCTTTTGATTTTATTACTTTCTTATTAAATAAGAATTTTTCATATTCTGTAGTTTGGAGTCGTGTCAAATTTTTATAATATCTAGCTTTTATTTTAGATTTTTCTTGTTTTAATTTTAATATTTTAGATTTTGGTCTATTTTCTTCTTGTTGTTTGGTATTAACCATACATCCTCTATTTGTTGGTTTAATTTATATATAGTATTATAATTTTTGTCAAGTATTTCTAAAGTTTTTTCTATATTAAGCATTATTCTTTCACGTAAAATCATAATTTTCTCTATAATAAAGCATTATTTCTTCATTTTCAATTTCTTTACTAATTTTTTAATATTTGTTCTCTTATATTTCTAGGTAATTCTTTAGTTAACATTAATGTTGTTATTTTTAATTTTTTAGGCAAGAGTTCTATTATATAAGCCTCTTGACTATCTTCTAAAATATAATAACAGTCTGTTTTGGTAATTATAACTTCTATAACTTTCTTATTCATACATATCTATTTCTTCTACAATTAAATTATACACATTTTCTTCATAAGTTTCTAATATCATTTTATTAGTATAGATATCTATAACAATTCATACTTTTATTTTTTCAATTATAAATTGTCTTATTTCTACATGTAATTTTTCAAGTATTTTCAATGTAGTTGTTACTCTTTTATTACATAATATTGGTTTTGAAATAGTTATATTAAATCTTTCTTGTATTGTTCTATATCTGTTATCTAAATCTTCAATTTCCATTTTTATTTATTTTAATAATTTTTCTTTTAGTAATAACATTTTCATGATTTTTATAGATCATATCGATCATATGGCTTTGATATCAAAAGAGGGGGTGCTACTATGAGCGAACAAAAATAAAAAATTTTAAAATCTAATAATCTAATAATCTTTAAAATGGTTCTTATGGACTTTTTAATAATGTTACCATGAATATTTAAATTTTTATGTTTGAGGTTTATTATTTATAACGTGTTAAGTAAATCTTCAAAATCTAATAATATATGAGAATTTATAATATCAAGATCTGTTATTATATCTATATTTGGATTAAAATGTATCTCGTATTTAGAAATATTCTT